TTAAAGCCCATGCTAACAAAAAATTGTAATGTGATCATTAAAAAATAAATTATTCGTATAATACAGCAAAAGTATGTTTGTTCTGGGAGAATAAAAAACAAACAAATCCTCACCATTACACACTAAAGTCACTAAATGAAAGATAGGACCGACCAAGAGTTAACGATGAAATAAACAGAAGTTTAAGGTTGAAAACGTACATATATTGGTTGTGATCTAATGATTTTAGTTGTAGTTAATGATTTCGTTCTAATATAATCCAGCGAGTGAATCTAAGACATAAAAACAATAAATTGATAAAGCTCTAAATCAGAACAACATAAGTCAAGTACGGTTTGCGGGTCCTTACTCTGATTTTCAACATTAAAAGAGTACAGTTGAAATATAATAATAATATAATAAGGGTATTCATTCTGTCTGGCAAACTTATTGTTAGGTGTACGAAAAGCGCAGATTGCATGAGCTTGCAATGAACAACAACAAAACACACGTACAAAGTTGCTTGTAATGGCTTGCAATCTTGCTATTCTTAAACCCATGTTTATATGCTTGCAACGAAAAAAAAAAAAAAAAAAAAAACAAACAGCGCTTTTGACTTCTGTTGCTTCTCATGTGAAACTTGTATTCTACAAAAACAGCTGTTTCATTTTGATGTTGCAATTCTGCAATAGAGGTGTTCTTCCACTCTTGCAATTCTTGCATTTCATGCACTTTGCAGTAACTTTGTAAGACGCAGTAAATACTTTTAATGTATAATCGTAAATCGTTAAGATACCCCGCGGTTTCGAACGCTAATATATGTATGCCAGAGCCAAAATTTCTAATAATTGGTATTTATTTCATTATGTTATAATAAAATTTGCTTATAATAATATATTATATTATAATGGTTTCATAGTCATAGTAAATATATTGGAATTGTTTAACAGTAAAAGTAAGAAGAAGAAAACGAACTATGTAGCGGATTACTAGATATATTGACAACTTGTAATTGATATTAAATATGAGCATTCCATAATGACCAAACTAATAGTTTTGCTGTACCTATTGTTACTGGTAAGGTAATTAATAATAAAAAACAGTAGCTAGCACTTACAACAATACCTGATATAGCGACCTACCAGATATAACGATGGGTTCTGGAAGTTAGATTTAGTTAGCCATATACATATATACAATTTGCAATCTTTTATAGCGACATCGATATAACTGCATATCGGTTCCTGCGATCGTATTTTAATACAATTGTCGTTTTGGTTGTTGATTATAACGATCAAACAAAATAAATTTCATAAGAGTGGCAATTCTCTTTAGTGCATTTGACAAAAAAATATTATCTAAATCAAATTCTTGCCGACTGTGGTGAGGATGTAAACGAAATGGATAACAATGATAAACACATAACATATAAATAAAATTCCATAGCCGAAGCACATTGATTCGGTACAAGTTTATCAGCATTGAGGTCTCATTTGAACCCAGAGTATATGTACTCAAAATGTAACCACCGAACACAAATTACAGATTATTTTTTTCATTTTTGTGAAATGATTTATCTGTATAATACCTTAAATATATGTATGTACACGTATACTTTTTGAAGCAGATAAATGAAATATAACTTAATAATATGAAAACTAAAATAATTTTTAAAATATATGTATATCATTTTTTTTTAGTATATATGACTATCGCTTACAACAATTCGATTGAGTCAGTCCTTTCAATGTTGTTATAACCAGTATCGACTCTTTATGTATTAACTATATAAAACATTATCGGTAATATAGTGGATAATGTTGAAGTACATTCAGTACTATTGAAATAGTGATTATGATGTAATAAATGCCTTATGAATAATGAGATGACCATCTTGAAATATCTGATGAGATGTAAAATATTTGAAGTGTATTGCATGCAGAACTCATTATTGCACTATACTCTAGATTACATGTAATCAATCATTTTCTCAGATGTAAATTTTAATGTATTCTTGACATTTAACAAAACGGCAATAGTCTTTCATTTTCACGACTTTTGTTTGTAAATGCCTTAAATTTTAATTTGATATATAGCTTAGGTAAAATTTTTAATTATCTCCGGTAATATGGTTTTGAATGATTTACTTTATTTAGTTAATTAAAATTTTTATATTTTAATAAAAAATAGCATTTCGCACTTTTATTCTTTCAATAACTCATTATAGTCAGTTTATAGTTTTCTTTAAATAGATATAGTTAATGGTGCCACAGTATAATCAGGGCTCCAATATCACTTGTTTGTATGTTAACATGATCTATTAAATTATATAAAACTGGTTAATTGGAGAAAACGTTTATGAAATGAAAAATTATTATTTCGAATATGTTTTAATAAATGAAATATATAATTATGTTAAGCTATGTTTATAGTTTTGGAATGTATCTTATGTAGAATTTATGTATCCTATTATCCTGCATTTAGGTAAAAAGTACAAATAATATTTACATAAATTGTTACCTCTTAAATATTATATTTTCAAAAATTTATAAATTTATAAACACTTCTTTTTCGAATGTACCACAAAATAAAACTAAATATTTAGGAATATATTTTTAATAACAAATAGAAAGTCAATAAAATATTTAATCGTCCATATATCCACTGGAGCATATAATCTAACTTGTCTTATCAAATATTTGGCACTTAACTAATCGTACTACTACTGCCAAACAAATTAATAGGTGCTAAATTTGAAATAATCAGATATTAAGCAAATAGTTTATTTACCAAAATGTACAACGCAATCGCAATCTTTGCACAAAATATTCTGCTCTGCAAAATACTTTGTTTTGTATTGTAAAAACCCGAAAACTCAAAACGCAAAAAACGACAGCGAATGTATTTCGCCTCTTTGTACTTCAGCAAACCCGATTTAACCAAAAACACTGCTTTTACTAAAAGCACTGCAATTAGAACTATTCACACTACCGGCAGCTTAACGTACATCCACACCAAAGCGAACGCTTGTAAATGCTTGCGAACGAACTTTTACAGGCGTTACCTCCTGTTGTATTCGAAATTAATACTTAAAAAAATGTTGATAAATTTCATGAAATATGAAGTATAATCGAAGTTAGTTTATATCATGCAACATGGATTCAATGCGAACATAACCTCCAGCATCATCATAACTGTATTTTATTTTTTACTATTTTTTTTAACTATTTTTTTTTACTATATTATGTTGAGGCTAGTTGAGTCAGTGCACCTGAGCACTTTTACTCTCTATTAACTGCGAGTTTTCTTCAAAACCCCTCTTTGCGCCTTGACTGGATTATTGTTTATCACTTCATCAGACTAAGCAATAATTGACCTCAGATATGCATACCTCCCCGAGTAGCCTGAGATTTGCCACTCTGAGATTTGATAACACGGTGTTGGTAAGTCTGTCAGTTTTCGCAAATAATTTCAGAACTCTATCCTTTATGTTTTTTTTTTGATGGAATCAATCTTGAGGTCCCTGAGGATGTCATTCGTCCTAATGTACCAAGGAACTTTGAAAAGTCTTCTCAGAGCTTGGCTGTATTTTATTTTTTACTATTTTTTTACTATTTTTTTTTTACTATTTTTTTTTTATTATTTTTTATTATTATTTTTTTTTATTTTATTATTATTTTTTTTTTTTATTTTATTATTTTTTTTTTGTTTTCTTTTTCCTTTTCAATAAGGTTTCTTAAACATAAAAATTGATGGCGAAAACTGTGTTCTTTCGAGATTTGAATATTTATGGATGATATAAACAATTGTTTTTAATGATAGAACAACCTGTGCTTTGAAATTATTCTTGAATTTTTTAGTAGTTGCTGATTAAAACTAAATTAGTCTATAGAAGAAATAAGTTGACAGATGAAATAGTATTAAATAAGTTAGTCTATTACACAATTTTAAAATATTTGATGGCTAATCTTAGAGAGGCCTTCAGTACTTTATTATATAGCTTTATCTAGCTTAGTCGCTTTCTCATTCAGTAATATTTTTACGTAAAGAACTATTTATAATATTGGAATACAAGTGCATATAAAAAACGCAACTGCTGAACAATGCTGGTAGCTTAACTTGTGAAATACATATATACGTTATTAAACCCCCTGCAAATATATTACATATAGTAACTTATTATATATAATAAAAGTTCAATTGCGTCGTGACCCTGCTATATCAACCGTCAAAGAAAACTATTTCGTATAGATTTCCTAACAATTACAGCAAAGTAGTTAACCATGTAGATAACTCACGTTTCTAATATATGTATAATATATATATGTTTATATATATATGTATATATAATATATGTTTAATATGATTCAACTATAATTATCGCGTACAACTTTTTGTTCCAGTTAATCCCAAAGCCATTTATTCGTTTTTTGATTTTGTTTTTTGTTTAACTGGAGCAAAATGAGATAACATTGTTTTAAAGTTATAAATAATAAATATATGAGCAGAATTTATTCATAACAAGAATATTGTTTGACTGCGCTTTTTAAAATGTAATTGCACAAGTTATTTAAAAAAATTATAATTTGTTAGCAATTTTCTATTCAAGGAATATTTGCATCAAAAATACTACGTAGCAGTTTTTTAATTTTATGAGATTATATATGTATATAACCATTTAAATTAATGTTTGAAATATAAAAATATGTTGATAAAGTTTATTAGAACATCATTTGTAGTTTTAAATTTGAACCATATCAAACCTATTGATATTCATTATACATATGCATATGTAATTTTAACTAAATATTAGCTACCGATATTATTTAACGTGCTCTGAGGTCACTGAAACGTAGTTATTAATTCTCACTTGAGTAATGAAACATTTTCTGAATGAGTAAGAAATCTAAAACAAAGAACTTCGATTAGTAACTCTGTGTGTAAAAACTCTGCTCCCAACCACTGTTAGATATTTGCATAGTAATATAAGAATACATTTGATAAATAAATATCTTACTTACAGTTAACAGGCAAGTAGCAGCAATTTTAGCTTAAAATAAAATTTTTTTAACAACAGATGTTATTTCTTTGGCTTCTTTTAAATTAATTAAAACGGCTGCTCTTCTTAATATTAGCAGTATTGCAACACTAACTTAAATCCACAAAAATTAATTTTATTGTACAACAACAAAGTTAACTTTATTTACAAACCATTTTAAAAAAAAACTACCAGCATAACAACCATTGGGACTTATCGCTCAATACTCCCAATACATATCTAACTTGCTTCCATATGTACTTCCAATCTAAATCAACAATTTGGCATATTTTATCGCGAAACACAATAAATTAAAAAACAATGCATTTAGATATATGTTGACATAAATAACAGCTGATGCAAACTCTCTACACATAAAAAATGAATTCAGTCGTGAGCACACTGTATACACAGCATGTTGGATGGAGTTCATTTCGCTAACGAAAGTTTCACAAGTACTATTATGTTCCCGCAAAGCTTAAAATATAATCAGAGAGTGTTTAAAACCAATTTTAAGTATTTACACAAAAAATGTATTCATTAATGTTTAGCAAAACTTAGAATTATACTAAGTTTACACTGTGAGATTAAGAAAACAAGATTAAGTTAATCTGGATTTTTAATCTCCACCGTTCACATTATACATTGGAGATTAATTTTGACATTTCTCTTGTTGAGTTTTATTTCGTCCAAAAAAATTGTAATATAAATTTAGAATAGTTTTGAAATTTAACAATTAAAAATAAAAAATATAATTAATTAATTAATTCAATTATTCTACAGCTGGTTTATGATTTCGTTCTAATATATAAATACAGCAAGTAAAATTGTTAATAAAAACTTTCATAGTAAAAGTAACAAAACTCCAGCAAAAATATGCGAACATAAAAAGTCAAGTACGGCTTTGGATCAGTTGGTTAAGGTGCGCTGATTCTGAGCTTCACATTTGGCAGGACCCGAGTTCGATTCCTGGTACTTGCAGTCTCAAAAATAATTATTTACGAATAATTAAATACAAGAATTATTTCCAAGACCACTGATGAAGGGTATTTGGCAATACTCGAAACAGCTGTATGGTCAGCCAAAAATTCAATTAATTAAAATAATTTAAAAAAAAAAAATAAATTTTTGCTGTTGTTTCACTTCTGTTCGAAAACCTCTTTATGTAAATATAAATTTAATAAATTTTGTATTAACAAATTTTAATAATAATTATATACAAAATTATTATTAAACAAATTTATCAAAAATTTACTCATTCGGCATTTTCATATTCTCAATGTCTGTTTTGAATCGATTTTGACATTTATTTTCTAATTCTTCTAAGATCGTAAAAAAATGTACGATGTTAAGCCATTTACAAAGTTGCACAGAAAAGTAATTACCATTTTTAAGGAGATGAAAAATTAATCTCATTTGTAATTTGTTGTCTAAATACTAAACCTTCTGTTTTCTAATGTCTGCCTTTCTCTTAATAACTGAAATGTCCATTTTGGGTTCTGTGTTTTGTTATTATTATTATTCTTAGAATAATTTATGCTATATGGGTCCCAACTCAAAGCCGCTATCCAACACCCGTAAATGTGGTCACTAGATGGAAGTCTCATGACTTCTATGAGGTCATGCGAGGGTTGGCACAGATCCTTATGAAAACAATTATTCAGAGCCAGACCAGTTCTAATCAGGAGCCAAGCTATAACCGAACCTACACGATCATGTTGACGGTTGTAGAAAGTACTTTGAGGCCTGCAGGGGTTTTAGCGGGACGGATGCAGCTACAGACTTCGCAAGGAACCGTTCACACGCGAGTGTTATTCCGATGCTACCGTACCAGAATACAGCTAGGAACCTGTAGCCAAAAGCCCAAGGTAATAAAACAAAACGGATGTTCTAACCGAAGTCCGAGGACGAAACGGTCATCACCAGAGGACGCTATAGCCCTTGAAAAGTACAGCATCCGGGAAGAGGATAGATCTGTTGGCATTACTCAGAGTGCATCATGTGGAGACCATCTAAATTAAACCCTTAATTGCAGTATTGTTGACCTTTATGGTCCCAGGAAGAACATATATTTTGAATGATTATGATGTGATCAATACAGTAATGGATAAAGTATTGCTCGATATGTCATTCTTATCGGTAACAGGTATCTCCGAATTATTTCTTTTGGTTTTTGTATTTAAATTGATAGTTATTTTTATGATTATGGGTTCGAGATGAACTAACATATTATATAATTTTTTGTATTTTAGACAATGTTTGCCCCTGCAGTAATTGGCTTTATGCTAGCTGTGTAGTTAATTTAGGCACAATTTTAACCGTTGCTCCATACTGAACTGTGCCCGCTCTGTTGTTGACAGGAATTTGTTGTACCGAATGATTAGATGTGCATTGATGTACATAATCCCCACACTACTGTGTTACTGTTAATACTTTAGTTGTTGGTGAGTTTTGATTGACAGTTTCCAATGGCTGATATCTTTTCTCAAAGAATAGTGAAAATTCGTCTACAGATTGCAATTCATGAGGATATGTTCATATAACAGCCTAGTCTGCTTACAAAATTTTTATTTTAGTACATACCTATGACAGTATTGAACATCAAGATCTAGTGTCTACGTCCAAACACCTCTTCAACACCTCTCCAGTTTCATGTCGTGCATAATTCGGATGTTAATTCGGTTAATGGTCGTTAGCCATCAGATACACAATGGGATAAACACATATTTTGTGTACGTGCCGTAACTGTTGTATACTGTCGATAGTGTGATTACATCCTGCACGCAATGGTGGCTAGAAACAGGTCCACAAGGTCCGGGTGTTGTAATCGGGCGGACGCAAGCAAAAGCGTTTTAAATCAAAGCTCAAATTTAAAGTAGAAGAGCATATGCCAAGGTATGAATGACCATGAATAGTTGGTTTTTAATATGCGAACACTAGATACCTGTTGACCTCCAGTTTCAATTAGACTTCCCACAATAAATGGGATATGAAGTGGATGACCTTCCAATCCCGCATAAATAAACTTTCTTATGAATAATTCATTTAATAACTGCAACGAGCTTGATGTTTCCCTGACAGCATCATCTATATGTGATTCTTTTACGAAATAATCGGACGTCGAGAAAATGTCGACCACTGGGCTGGAAGCCGCCATCCCTCTTGACAGCGCTACAGTGTGCGTCAAGATAGACCCGAATAGGCCAGCGTCTTCTTCTCCACTTTCGGAAATGGTGAACGTGCCGATAAACACTTCGTCGGGATCTCAGGTAAGGCGGTAGAAAATTATTAAAGTTATGTCTTTAAATTCAGAAACCGCTGAATCTTCTGACTCCGACACAGGCAGTGTGGTCACATAAATGTCTTATCTAACTATCGTCGGCTCCAAAGTTAGAAATCTCACTTTAGAAACCATAAAAACTTTTTAACCTCAAAAAAGTGAACGAAGAAGATTCTAGGCGGTAATCTCAATAGGCTATAGTTGAATAGAGGCTTTAAAAATCGCACCGCAGTCTACGACTGCAAATAAGCGGGTCAGATAGGAGAAGCAATTTACCAGTTTGACTTTCGCTAAAAAATCTAAGGCGGCTCATGTAGAGCTTGCCACGCAATTGTACAAGCTAGATATTAAGGGCGTACTTTTAGGTTTCACGTCGACGCATCCGCCTGGCACTTCGCTTTCTGCAGACTAAATAATGCTTCTTCAAGAAGCCATAATTGATGTTGCATCGAGCAACAAAGCAATGACTTACAGCCGGTGTTCTAAGATTATTTCCGCAGGTTTGGTTGAGCGATTTTCAGTTCATAGGGGCCAAATGCGGACTCGTCTTAAATGTGGTAAAAGAAAAGGACTTTCAACGAACTCATGTGGTTCGTGGCTATTTTCCTTGAAGTGGGATTTCGTTAAACTAAGAAGTTCTGACTACCATTGATACCCAAAACCAACTCTCTACCAAACGATGGAAAGTAATACGCAGACTGACACAGTATTAGATGCTGCACGTGGTTTTTGTCACTGATGACGAATGCGTGAGAAAGTTGTCCGGTAGGATTGTATACCGATTCGGACACTTGGGATTGATGCTTCACAGTACCACCTTCAATCTCTTACACCCCGTGGAAAATGCTTTAAAGGATACCTTACCGTAAATGTAGGGACGAACCAGATCTTTAGCCTAACGGTTACCTGGAATGTCAAGTCAGTAGCGAATTCTTTTGATTGAAAATTAATCTTTAATTAGAGAGTTGGTTCTAGATCAACTCAATGCATAATACGGCTTTATTTTTCTGACATTAAAAGACTCTCAGCGGCTGACATTCTGGGTTTCTTGGAAAATCGGAATGTGTTCTGTTCGGTTAGGGTCTGTTGCGCCACAAAAACCACCAATATCACGGTGCTCCGCTTCGTTAGGAGCTGGTACCTTGTTTATTTCTATTTTTATCTATTTTTAATTCGGTTAATATATGAGTGTCTAGATGTTTGACTTTCCTGTTGTTAAAACGCTCCTTAAATATATATCCTGCTGTGGTATAGTTTCAATTGATTAAATCCCAATGTTCTACTAACGCTTTTGCATTATTAGTCAAATATTTTTATGTACTGCATCTTCAGTGCATTTACTTCCATGAACAAGTAGTCAAACTTCATCTATATCGAACTTGGTGTATATTCCCTAAAACTTCCGATTCGTAATATTTGGTAACTAGATTAGCAATTTTTTCAATGTTTTTATCGAGTGTGGGTCATTCTTACAATTAGAGCCTACACAAATAAATAACAGAACCGCGAAAAGGTAAGATCATACTGACAATACTAGTACAATGGACAACCTAATTATAAGTCGATTTCGAAATGCCGGCGATAATATATAAAAAGGATTTATATAAACTAAAAACGTTTGCTTCGTTTTGTTTTGTTTTTACTACAAAGGGCACATGACAAGCCTTTTAGTAAACGAATTTAAAATGACGTGATAACGTTTTTAGCGGCTAATGCGAAACATACCTGCACATTTCCTATTCCTAAAATTCCTAGCTGCAATCATTTCAATATCCTTTTCTAATCCCTCTCCACTTCTTTGCATTCGGAGTTAACAGATTGTATTCTTGTGTCATACTTTACTGATACTTGTCCGCCTCAGTAAGTAACACAGCGGACCTCATCTCGCCCATACTCATGGGATTCATATGGATTTAAAAATCTATGTAAAAAATATAACAGAATCCTAAACTGCATTTCAGTTGATCAAGTAATGTCTGATAACCAATAGATCAATCGTCAACTACTTTTTCCTATAAGAAAAGGCAAAAAAAGTTCAAGGGGCGAAGAACAACTAGCTCAAT